GTTTCGAAATCCCTCCCACAAGTTTCTTTAATGAAACCAGACTTAAGCCGGAGATTAATCTTGATCTGCGGAACTGCGGTTTGCATGTTGCGCCACGGTCTTGGAACATCCTGGCGCTTCTAGTAGATCAAGAATAATCGGGCTCCTTAAGTTAACTATAATCCAAGTATGATCACTGGATCAGTGGCTAAGCAACATTTTCCGGGGTTCGAGCCACCCACTCACTACCTGGTCAGGTCAGTTACTCGGACCAACTGGTTTAGCTTAATCCAGGGATTTAACTTTTTCGCCATGCCTGTGATAATAAAAAGCAATAACGCTACAATTTTCTTTTTACTCGACCAGGCTTTTACCTCATTCCAGCAGCTGCTTCCACGGATTAAGGTAGAAAAAAACATGTTACGTCTACCTCCACAAACGGATTAAATTTTTTGAAACATATAAGTCAGTCTTAAGCATGGCGATTAAGCTTGATCCCCTGCGAAGGGGCGTAATATTTACGGATTTTCCTCTAAATCCTTCGGCTAATCTCCGGCTTAGAGCGCGGCGCGATTTTTTTCGCGGCTCGGCCTGCATTGTTTTTTTTTGTTTCGTTTTCTTCGATTCGCAAGAAGGCAGGCCTCTGGGCCAATGAGGATCATAATTATGGAATTCCTAAATAAACGAGGAAGGGCAGACGGCGATCACATCAAACTGACCTACCTGTAAGCGTGGGTAGGAAGGACTCTGCTCTACTGTTCTACGGCCCAGGCTTGCAGGCCAGCACACAGGTAGACAGAACCAGCCTTGAGTTACCGGACGGCAATTAAGAAGTCAAATTTCACTTAAAAACAAAACAAAAAAATTGAAAAACGAAAAACAATGCAAAAAATGTCCGTAGACTGAACTAAATCCGGCTTAGGAAAGTCGATTCTTAGCGGATCCTTGCATCATCAGCAAGGTCAGACAGCCTTCCAGCCTTCTGCATCATTTGCATGCCGAAAAGGATCGTAAACGAATTCGCCGCATCTTCGCCGCCGAGCCTTCCCAGCCGGCTCTCCTTTTTTTCCCACACTTTTTATGCCGCCCTTGACTTTTTTTAATATGGGTGGTTTGACTTTTTTACTGGACATGGCCAGGAGTACTTCCGTTTTTTATATTTTTTATGAGGGATCTTTCTACCTGCTAGTTTATGGGTGTTGTCCGTTTTTTAACTGAGCTAGTCCTCTCTAGCCCCTTGAATATATTTTTGAATGAAAGCCCAAACACATATTAGTCCACGTCGCATTAGTGTTTTTCATTAAACTTAGTCCGGGTATAGCCCATAGATCTACAAAATATGTGGAAAGCATGCTTTTACTTTCAGACACTCGTAGTCTGGGCAAACACATTACGGTGGTCATTTGGACCAGCCGGATTAGCCGTCCTAATCCTCGAACGAGGGTGTTATTTACACGCAGCAGGCCAGCAGTCCATCATCTTCATCTTTTCTTTTATAAATTTTTGCTAGTAATTAGCAGAATGTGTTTCAAAATTATGTATTATCCGGCCCCGAAAATGAAATTATTAAAAACAAGATGCAAGATACAAGATACAAGAAATGTAAAACAAACACTAAAAGTACGTGAACATGAACCAACTTATCAAAATTTCCATAATCCGCCCTGTGCCTGTGGTCGCCTAATCCTGATCCATGGAGGAAATCTCGGTGACCAGCTTAGCTAATCCCAAGTTCCGAGGCTTCCTGATTAGATCACTAGGCGGCTCATTCAAGAAAATATTGGCGTACGTCTTTAATCCAACCCTTTCTCCCTCGATATTCACAGAATAGACCCACATGCGTTCTTGCAGTTCACGACCTTAGCTGTCGGCAAGGAACCCAGGACACACCTTTTGATCCTCCTCATTAATTTGATATAGACATAGGGGAATCTCTAAGCGTGCTGAGCGTATGCCGAGTCCTTAAAAAAGTAAAATTGAATTTAGGGATGCTGCTAAAGAAGATACTTCGGGGATGTTTTTTCTCACTTCACGATAACTATCCCGAGACTTTTTTATCCTTGCAGGAATAGGAATCTCCTGTCACGGAAGCAGTTATAGGTCTAGGGTTCTTCTATAAGTTACTATAAGCTACTCTTTAATCCAAGCTGATCTGCGATCACGGAAGCCGAAGGATTCTTCTAGCAAGGATTTCCGAAAGGGGTTTTCCATCTCATTAAAAAGTAGATTTAAATAGTTATGCAGTTTCCATCCGTGGCTTAGGAAACCGATTATCGCGTTGGCTAATGATGAGTCCCCGGGAAAGCTTCGGGTCGGGGCTCTAAGCGGAAGGATTACCGAAAAGATCGCGTGGGTGCTGTGGAATTTCTCAAAGGATTTCAGTTGAATGCAGAAGAATCGCTTAATGCACTTTAAGTACCTTTCATCTCTATTCCAATATTTGGTAATGTTGTACCAACCACTCATCATTATCGAATCGTCACATCCCGTTGCTCTATAAATCACAAAACCGCACCCTTTAAAACCTAAATAAAATCGATTGAGTGTTACAAATGACTAAAAAATTGTGGGCACACTCATGGCTTGCCAAACAATAAAAAACGATCCCCTATCCTGTGCTCCTCGGGTATCCTGGGGTGGCTGCGCAGGCGCATGCGCGACGTCCGATGTTTTAAGCCTTCACTTTCGCTTTTCGCTTTTATTTCTCTGTTTTCCCCCTTTTTTGATAAAACAATCGCCTCTTTGTTGACAGCCCTCGTTTTCATTCGATATATTTGTACAAAATTTGTCTCTTTTTTCGGAAAAAGTTTCAATTTTAGTTTGGGATGGGCGTATTGTGTTTACTTTCCAAAGGGGGTAAGCCAAAACTAGACGCAGCTGCTGGCTGTTGAGTTTTGATGAAATTTTAGTAGAATGGAACATGAAACGGTGCTGCTGCGGGGCACTACTACTTTTATACCAAAGTAGTTTGAGATTAAAAACAAAATTGAATAATGTTGGCCCAGGTTAGTTCCTCTGCCGGATAGCTTATCAATAGTGCGAACGCACTTTCCTACGCACTATTGACCCACTTACACGCACACAGCTTAGCACGTGTTGTTTGGCTACGGGGATAGAGTTGGTGGATTTTTGGGATTCGAAATCGCGAATACTTTCGGTGCCTGATTGTGTCATGGCCCGATAAGGCCCGGATCTCATTAAAATCCGTTGAGCTTAGGTGGCTTTTGTCAATACCAAGCAGTGCTCTTCTTATCAGGCAAACATTTTCTGACTAATTCCCAAGCCGGGGAAAGAGGCGAATTCCTGAAACTAGAAGAGTAGAAGTTCTGTCCAAAACCTCAGAAGTCGTTATCAATAGGGTCAGCTCGGGAGCATGAATATTGTTTAATGCTTCTGCGAATTTTATTTTATTTTTGCAAGCATCTTTCGCTGAAACCAAACCGTGCTCTTGGATGGCAAGAGTATTCGAAATTTACGTAACATTATGCAGAGCAAGGATATGCCCCTGCTAGGACTATTGTTCGGTTTCACTTTCGGAAATTCCACGGTAGTTCGCATTAACCGCCCGGCGAGTCCGGCGCGTCCTTGGCCTACCTACAAAAACCAGCAGAACGATCTAGACCCATTTTCAGCATAAGTCCAGCGCAGCATGTCCTTGCCATAAAAATCAACATAAAACAATTTAAAAGTCAATCCGCAAAGTCACCAGCAACGCCTGGGCCCGGACTCGGGCCCTGAGAGGCTCGATATGTATGTTTCGAAGTTCGAGCTTCGTTGACTGTTTTTTAGGAAGGGGTTCGCCGGGCTCTAACCTTCTACCTGTGGCCGCTTTTTTTACTAGTTCCTTTTTTACGATGTACGATTTGTTTTTTAGTCGTGTGCCAATAATTATTTAGCCATTAAACTGGTCTACCGACTACCGCCGAATCGGATGCTCAACAGGCACCAGGCATAGGAGAAAAACTCACTCGGTGATTTTTTTTTTTTTAAAAACCACTCCTGGTGCGTTTGGGACTCGGACTCTGATGCCAGGACGATGCTTTGTTTACTTCCGCTTACTTGTACAGCGCACGCTTGAATTTCCACCCCATCCTGGGCATCTCTTTTCATGACTTTTGGCTCTTTCGCTCTCGCTCTTCCCTTTCGCTGGAGGACTCCTCGCCTTGGCGTTCAGTTCATCCCCTTCGGAGTCCTTGAGTTCTTTCCGGAAAGGGGAAATGTCGACGAATCGTGTGAGTGAGTTTTTTTTTATTTTTACCCGGTTACCCGGTTCGTCCATGATCCTTGCTCCACTTAGAACAGCCTTCAAGTGCAGTTTTTTATGAAGGCTCTAAAAACACCGGAGCTCCGGAAGTGGCCATAAGATTTTTACACTCCTTTATGGCTAGTGCATAGTTTTGACTTTCATTTTTTATGGCTACAAAAAACGGTGAGGCCATAAAACAACCAAGCTCGTCCTTCTTAAAAAAAAGAGACCAACAAAAAACTACGAGCAGGAGTCCACTTCGGGGACTTCGACATTGAAACGTCCCACCGGCTGACCGGCTATCTCTGTCGCACCAATTTGCATATGAAAAATCAGCACTTTTAGGTAAAAACAAAAAAAAAAAATAAAAAAGGAAAAAAACGAGCTGATGAAAAACGAAAAGATACTCAACTCGACTGAGTGCTCCGGCCCCTGCTCCGGTTTACCTGCTTCTCGGGGTCTAAGGATCGGTATTCGCCGTCGCCTGATGTCTTCTCCTTTCGCCGCGGCAAACGCGTGTGTGCGAGCGGGAGGGCGCATTGAGTGCGTAGTGGATTGTTTCGCCGCGGCGAAGCGTACTTATAGTTAGCTCACGCAGCGAATTTGTATCAGTCGTGATTTGGTTCTGTTAGAGAGAGGAACACCAATTCAACCAATTTCTTGTGCCACACACACACAACAACACACTCAACAACCTCAACTCTTACACACACGCAAATTTGTTGCTTCAAAGGATTCGTCAGCAAAGGATACATCATCAAGCTGTATAAAGACGTGCTCAACCGCTCTCTTAACATCACTCCTCAGCGACCAGTCGTCACGTCAACATCTCAAGAAACTTGGTGTGTTAACGTACAACATCTCAACCCGCGAAACACCAAAAAAAAAAAAACAAAATACCTCCTGGCAAATTTGAAACTTGAATAATTACAACTACCTCATTTTGCATAATTGGTGAAGTTTTTTTAATAAAGGACAAAGTCAGTGCAAACGCCTCTACCTCAAAGTACAAAAAAGTGCGCGAAACGGAAATACTCCATATCCTAAAAGTGAAAATTGCTCAAATGAAAATTTGTTCAAACTAATCGAATCGATAGCTGATTTCTAAGTGGTTTTGCTCAAGTGAAGGCAAAAGCGACATCGCAATCCCAGAAATACCAACATATTTATGGCCATATCAATGCTACAGGACGCCCAGACGCGAAGTAAGTACAACTATCCAGATAGGTCTATCCTACCTATCCTATGTAGTGTTTAAGCCGTGTTTAACTTGGCCAAACTAGTTGTTTCTAGACCCTCTAGCAATTAGGGTTTGTTTACAAAGTTTGGCCGAAACCGGCACCTAACTCGTTGGCCCCAAAACAAAAGCTGGCAAGAGAAAAGCCCTCTCGCACATGTAACATGTGTGAGATTGCTCTTACTTGCCTGTGCTCTTACCCGAAAGTCCTTTCCTGCAGGACTCGCATGCATTAGTCCCACGAACCGCTCACTAACTCTTATTTTTCTTCTGTTTCAGGCTTAGCTGCTGCATTAGCTGGCATCAAGAGAGAAGACGTCGCCGTTGACCGCTCCATGTCGCTGTCGCCCCCCATGTCCGCCAACACATCAGCCACTAACGCTGCCGCCATGTACCCAGCCATCGGCCTCCAGCAGGCGGCGGCTGCCTCGGCTTTTGGGATGCTCTCGCCCACCCAGCTGCTGGCCGCCAACCGCCAGGCTGCCGCCTTTATGGCCCAGCTGCCCATGAGCACACTGGCCAACACACTGTTCCCGCACAACCCGGCGGCTCTGTTCGGAGCCTGGGCTGCCCAGCAGTCGATGCCGCCCCAAGGCACACACTTGCACTCGCCGCCCGCCAGCCCACACTCGCCTGTGGCTACGACGCCCCTGGGCAGCGGCAAGCATCCCCTCGGCTCCCCCAACAGCACGCCCCAGCACCACGAGCCTGCCAAGAAGGCCCGCAAGCTGTCGGTGAAGAAGGAGTTCCAGACAGAGATCAGCATGAGCGTGAACGACCTCTACCACACCCCGGGCGGACCCATCTCCCCGCCGTCCAGCGGTAGCTCGCCAAACTCCACCCACGAGGGAGTGAGCGCTGGGAACAGCGGTGCTTCCAAGGATCCTTCTCGCGACAAGAGCTTCACCTGCAAGATCTGCTCTCGCAGCTTCGGCTACAAGCACGTCCTGCAGAACCACGAACGCACCCACACCGGCGAGAAGCCCTTCGAGTGCCCGGAGTGCCACAAGCGTTTCACCCGTGACCACCATCTGAAAACCCACATGCGCCTGCACACCGGCGAGAAGCCGTACCACTGCTCCCACTGCGATCGCCAGTTCGTCCAGGTGGCCAACCTGAGGCGCCATCTCCGCGTCCACACCGGCGAGCGGCCCTACACTTGCGAGATCTGCGACGGAAAGTTCAGCGACTCGAACCAACTCAAGTCCCACATGCTGGTCCACAATGGAGAAAAGCCTTTCGAGTGCGAACGCTGCCACATGAAGTTCCGACGGCGCCACCATCTGATGAACCACAAGTGCGGCATCCAGTCGCCGCCCACTCCGGCTCTGTCGCCAGCCATGAGCGGGGACTTCCCCATGGCCGTCACCTCCATGGCTCTGGAGGCGTCCACCAACAAGTTCGCGGCAATGTGCGCCAGCTACGGCGGCTCGGAGGAGTCGGTGGATCTCGAGAAGGGCGCCATGGAGGATGATGCTCCCCTCGACTTGTCCGAGGACGGCGCCAGCTCGGTGGACGGACACTGCAGCAGCTCTGGCCGCCGCAAGGCTGCTGACATTCGCCGAGTGTTCCGCCTGCCTCCTCCACAGATCCTGCACGTTCCCAGCGACATGCCCGAGCAGACCGAGCCCGAGGACTTGAGCATGCACTCGCCGCGCTCCGCCGAGTCTCACGATCAGGCCGAAGACATCGACTTGGACGACCTGGATGACGCTGCCGCTCTCTATATGCGCCAGCAGCTCCACTAGACCACTAGTCCCACTGCCAATTGTACATAGCTGTGGTCAGTTTTCATCAGATGAAGTTGACGGTCAAACAAATCCACACAAAATTGAAAATTTTGCAATTCGAGTGGAGGGCAAGAATGTTGCAACAGGAATTTAATGCTAAGTACAACTAACTATAGATCAACGATTTAGACACTTATAGAACTAATAGCACCCAAATCAAAAGCTAAAGAATTGTACAAAACTAGAAGATACAATTGCCACAAGCTTATTGCCGCCAAAACCCCACCAAATCGAACCGAAAATGTCGTGCCATTCTCATGTCTAATTTAAGTTAATGTTTTAAGTTCTTTGAATCTCTCCAGATTGTACATATATATCCACCCAGCAAATTAATGCTGCCAATTGTAAATTATACAGCGCTCCAAAAAATGTTATTGTGCTAAAAAAACGAAAGAAAAAAATCTATTTGCACCTAATTTTTATTGTTTACTTAAGCCTATTTTAATCTTACGAATTCTTAAAGAAACAATGCCAATAATCACAAAATCAAAATTAACTTTAAGTTAAAATAATAAATCATTTTTATTCTCTAATTGTTTTGTTTGCTATTGATATTTAAAACAATTATTTAACTAGCTAGAGCCTAATTATTGCATGAATCTCGTTTCATTGATCCAAAAGATATGTTTTAGCTTATATATTTAAATCTATATTTAGTTTAACAGTTGCGCATGCAATACAAAAAATAAAATTATCAAAACAACGTTATTTCTTTTTATTTGAAACCTCTTCCCGAAAAGTGATTATCCTTTATTTTGTCCTGAAAAGCACCCACACATATAGCTCAACGCATAATCACACCTGTATATAAGTAATGTCACCTAACCAGTAAACCCAGTACTGTAAGCATTAGCTCTAATTGTAAGAATTGAACCAAGTAAACAGGAAGAAATGCTATAACCAAATACCTCCAATACCTCTATGTATCGAAATTGTTGTGAGCTAATCGTATATATACAACAATTTGGCAATCGTACAATTCAACTGAATTTATATACAACGTTTAAGATGAAATCGAAACTCAAACCAAAGTTATATGTATTGTAATTTTGATGGATATTTTATCGCAACCTAACATTGAATACGATTTTTGAGCATTCGCTAGCCTAAGACTAGGGACTAAGTGTAAATACATCAGCCAGTAGTAGTGGTAGTTCAGCCTAATCTGTATATAGTTTAGAGTGTATATAGCGAAATCCAACGTATACTACAGAATAATTTTAGTGCAATCTTTGGTTCAAACGGTCGACGAGCGTTTTCGTCGACACCCTTTGAGTTAGTTCGTTCTAATATCATAAAATGCAACAAAATATTGTGTAATTTTCTTTGTTCATTCAAATGTATGGTATACAAGTTCCTCAAGATTAAATGATTACAAAAATAATAAATCGGATAGCGAGCGCCAGTCGAGTCCCCTCGAAGCTCGGCGCATTGCACAAAGACCTCACCACATGTTTCACATTAATTGTGTATATTAATACTCACTATGTAACTTTAGCATATTTAAAACTAAGTACTTATATGTATGATAACAAGGTCAATTTATGTAAATACTAAATACTAATTACCCTTACTATAGCTCAAGTTGTGCAATATAACATATGCAACCTTATACTACAAAACTAAACCAATATCAAGGCTCCTCTCCAGTCTCGTATTAGTCACTAGCCGACATACTATACTAGGAAATTAAAACTAGACAAATTATACTGTAATAACTGAAATTATTGCATTGGATGTGTCTATAAACGTACGAATATGTTAAGTTAGAGCCGTCAGTTTGTCGTATCAATTTTCTCATTATTGTTGCACCTTCAGGCATTGAAAAGACAAATCTACGCGTATATTTAAGGAATACTTATACATCATTAAATTATTCATTAATTTTAACTAAATATATTCTGTTTATTATCGAATTGTATGTCTGCGAAACAAAGAAATATATATTACAATATTGTGTTAAATAACAAGCCAGCACTTTTCAACCAGTGAACGAGGGAGCAACCCCTGGAAAATTAGCAGGAGCTTGCTCCTTTCTCCTTTCTTTAGAAAGGCGACAACGGGCAGCATTATATAAATTTTTAATTTATGCAAACGAAGCCCTTTCGCATTATTTTACATTTGCCACAAGACGCCCCACTAATGCTGTCGCCACCACCCTATACCAACTCCTCCCCCACTGCCTCGCCGGAATTTGAATTTGCGTCGGGGGCAGCAGCCGCAGCAGGAGCAGGAGCAGCAGCTGAGCAAGAAAGAAAGAATATAAAAAACTCGCCCCGCGCAGCCAGAAAATGTCACAGTGTTTTTCCCCATTTAATCTCCAGTGAGAGAGCAAACAACTACAACGCCATGGAGGAAAGGCGACACCCCCATCACCCATCACCCACAATCCACCCATCTTCCTGGCGTTCCTTATTCAACCTTCCAGCGAAACTGACGCCTCCACTTCTTTGTGCCCCTTTCAACTGCCAAAAAAGGCTTCATCCTGGCAGCCCTCCATGTACAAAATGGCAGCATGTACAAGTATTACATAAAGGGCGCCTTATGTGCTTACATAGAGCCCGTCTATAAGAGGGAGACGGAGGACAAATGTTCGCGTACTGCGCTGCTTATTAGCATTTTAGCCTTTCTTCGTTTGGCGCTCCGTGAATATTGCCAGGACACACTGAGAGAAATTAGAGCTTTTCTAGGAAAGTTTTGGTTTTGGTTGATTCAGATTATATATTGGATTCTTTAGACATGAGTAATTTTTTGCAAGTGTAGTCCATCTCGGCCCACAACCCCCTCCCACCACTCCACGTTCTTTTTAGCTTTCGAGTAAATGATTTGGACTTGGAGGCAGAACATTTTTTCTCAAATGAGTTTACGAGTGTTTGGCTGTTAGGATTTTTCCTCTGGTGCGGCAGAAGAAAGAAAACCAAAGAAAATAAAAGGCATTCAAAATAAATTTAAAGGCTTCGCTGGCAACGAACCGCCGACGCAGCCAACAGCCGTTCATTATTCAAATTGAAAAATTATGATTTTCACCCACGACCGGGACTGGGCACGGAGGCTCGGACTCGGACTAGGACTCGTCCTGTCCGAGCCTGGCGCCCAACCAAGCAAGGCATTATAATAAGCTCCCTCAAGTGAACCGTGGGACGGGACTGAAATGTGGAAGGGCTGTTGGCCGCGGCCTCAGAGCCTTTCATGCTTGTTATCCTGGGGCCATTTGCACTAATTTAATCCAAAAGTGTGGGGTGCAATTAGTCCGGGAGATTGGATAGTATCATTTCTGGTGGGCTATTTTGGGGATAAATCCCTGTCCATTGCCAAAGAGGTCTAAAAAGTCATCTCAACGATCTGGAGCGTCTGAGAAATATGAATATGAGAAGCAGGAAGTCTCTCAGCTAAGGATTAAAAATAATGTACCTTGTCTAAGATATTATGTAAATGTAAAACTTGCTGCTTTTGGCGTAACAAAACAAGTTAAGACCGTCCAGCCGAGACTGAAATAGTTCCAAACAATAGCCGGATAGACTCTGAGACAAAGGGAATGGCATAGAAACACGTGAATATATCGAAACTGTGCCATTCTGACTACCCCCGGCAGTGCCTGGCAGGACATGCGAAAAAAGGGCATGCAAATTTTTGGCAAACACAATTAGCAAGGATCAGGATCAAGATCCGCACTCGAAGACAATGTTCGGGCTAGAACACCCAGCTAGATGTCCCGGGAGAAAGTGAAAAGAAAAGAGGCCGTTACCCAGCATGTCCTAAGACTGTAAGAGCCGTTGAGAGCCCCGAAGAACCGAGGAAACAACCGAGGCTCTCATTATAATTTCACATTTAAAATTTCTACTCCTTTTCGCCTTGGAATTACGAGCTCCGTTCTTTCTCTTATCGAGCATTCCGGGTGAGGGGGGGAGGAAGGAGAGGAGTAGAAAAAAATGAAAAACAACCCTCTCAACCGGCAGCGACTGCGATGCCGGCAGCGGCTTCAGCAGCAAGGATAACGAAAAACTCATTTGCATACGAAGTGCTTTCGCTTTCGCTCCGCAACCCCTCGTGGCACCTTCGTTATTTTGAAGCATGGCGGCAATAGGCCACCTGCGTCCGTGTCGGAGCGAGACGGCCGGAGTCCTGCGTCCCACTCGCACTCCGCCTTAATCAAAGAGTTTAATGCTGGAACAACGTAGTCCCAGCCGGGAGAGAAGTGCTGTGGAAGCTCTTTCGCTTCGCCGGGCTCGCCTCCTTGCTGCTCATTATCAAGCAGCGAGCGGTAAACTCATTGAGACGTTTTGCATCCCAGTCTCCCCCTTTCTGGGAGCCCTCCCCCACCATAAGCAGCTCCTGGCGATACCCCAACTCATTTTACTTTTATATTTTTCATTTCGGTCTCTCCCAAGTTGGAGGAAAGCTACGTAAAAGCAAAAAGACATTTTTGTTTAAAGAAATTACAAACAACCCCTTTGGAATTAGAAGCTCGGAAGGACGAAGTGGAAGTCGCAGTCGCAGTCGAAGGAAAACAAACGTCAGCGTAAAAGCTAAAGAAATGAGCGTATATTATTCATGGTATTAATGTCACGGGCGGGAGTGGGAGGTGAAGAAGCCATAAGGGGTATGTGCCCCCAAAAACTCAAGGCTTTAATTTTAAATAATAGATACATATTCCATTGAGGAGAGAGAGTTTACAGCAGCGATAGTTAGTTAATTAAAGATACAAGGTCTACAATACAACTATCTATAAAAATTATCAGGTAAAGCATATGTATAGACTATATATCACAACCTAGAACCTTATATAGATTATAATCTTAATAAAAAGAAAGGCAATCCAATAAAATTCGTATTGCAACATAAATTCCCACGCTTACTATACATCCTCTCAAAAATCACATATGGTCCTCATAAATAAGCAAGTTATTCCAACCCCGACATTCAAATTCGCACAATACGGCTCGCAACTCTATTCCACCGGTAGTATTACCCACCCATAACAGCCATAACGTCAATTTCATGATAAAAGTCCTGATGATTACGCACACATTAGACAAGTGCGACCCTTCCGCTGCCGCCCCCATCTCATATGCCTTTTATTTGCCACAAATTCCCGACAATTTTGGACAAATTTACATGCATAAACCGAACCGCGTCGACTTTGGCGGCGGAAACGGCAATTGCCCAACAACAACAACAACAATGGTACGACAAAGAGCCACTACACATGCGATTTCCACGGGTTTCGCCAAGGATTTCGCTACTCCCTCGGGGAGGTCGTGGACCCTTTCCTAGCTTCCCCTTTTTTTTTTGCCAAATTTGTTTAGAGAAAATCAAGTGAAAAACGTTTGAAAATCATATGCATGGTGGTGCTGCTGGCTGGCTGGCTGGTCCTGGGAAGGAGTGTTGCTTGTTGACATTCAGTGTCCCCGGGAAAGTGAGCTATCAACAAGCTATCATTCACTACACATACTCGTGTATCTGTTTATGCATGTGTGGTGTGGGCTTGTGTGTGCCAGTGGGTGTGGGAGTGGGTGTATGGGTGTGGGTTGGCAAACTGTTGATACGATTTAAGCGATTTGTTGTGGGTTTTCCTTCGCACACTTGTTTATATTTTGCTTGGCGGGTGCCTTGTGCGAAGCGTAAAAACTGTAGCATACTTTTCAGGGTATGCGAGACAGGAGGAAAAGGGATGATGGTCAGTGTCAGATCCAAGGCTTCTCAATTTAATTATAACCTATACTTGGGCCTAAAAGGATTTTGTCGCAACCACGTATTATTTAATAAAGCCGCACTTACTTTCGTGGAGCGTCCAACTTTTACTTTCAGTGCCTTGGAGTGCCCTAATGGACTCGTAATTCGCTTATGGCATAAAGGGACTCTAAGAGCCTTCGTTTGAGCAGCCTTCTAGCTAATTTGAGGCTGCAACACGAGGACATGAGGATTACAAAAGCGTAATCGGTTCAGGCTGACCATACACTTTAAAAAGCTACATCACCGGAGCCAACATTTCCTTAAAGATGATAATATTTTCCATTTTTATGAACACACTTGGAAACCTGCGCGTTAAAAAAAGTTTATTATCTCGTTAGGACCTCTTTGGATCAAGCGTTGCGCCACAAAATATGCAAAGCAATTAAACAGTCCAATAAAAAAATTTTAATTACCTTTCATATCCGGCAAAGTGGCCTGGCAAGAGGCAGGACTCAACATGATATCCTTTTAATAAGAAGGCTCCTTTGCATAACAACAAGGAAAACATTAATTAAGATGCAGACAAAACCAGGACCAGGATGACGGCAGCGAAATAAGCGAATTAACAACGGCAAGAACTTTGCATAAATGAAAGGATAATCAGCCTATCAACCGGGCCAAGGACCAAAGGCACAAAATGGCGAGCAATTAACATGGAAATGACTTTGTTTGACACTCAAATGAAAGCAAGCATCCCATTGGAAGACAAAAGCGTCCTCTGTGCGGAGTCCTGACGTCCTAGCGTCCTGGTGTCCTGGCGTCGGAGGGTTAAATTAGCAAAGGACCCAAAACGGAGCCAGCCCAGCACAATGCAGTGCGACATAATTTAATATTTCCCATTAAGCGCGACCATTAATGAATGAAGCCAAGGCGGATCTCGCGACTGCGCAGGCTCTCTCCAGGAGATGGAAGAGCTCTCCTTGCCCCGTCGTCCTGGACGTCGTGGGCGTCCGGGTCCCCCGCAGCACCCTTCCTCGCCAGCCGGCCAAGGCGAGTAATTAAGTTTATGCGAAGTACAAAATTTAATTTCGTTTGCCACCCCTTTTTAGCCACCCCCCTTTGCGGCGATGGGGAACGTGGCTTTCATTTTGTGTTGGTTTTTTGTTCTAAAT